TAACGGGTATAGACACTGGAAATCTCACGTCATCTGTTGCATGGATGTGTTCTCAGACTCGCTGGCCGAACAGTTGATTTAACAGTATCTGTTTTTTCCATCAGTGTGCACCTCCGATGATTTACAGATCTGCTTGACACACACAGGGACGAAGTCTGTATGAATTTTCCGTCCACACTGAAACTACAAAACAATTGAAAAAAAAAAAACTGATGACGAATGAAACCGAGCTTAGCGCCGCCACCCGGCGAGATGAAGCTCTGCTCTGTTTCTGTGAAGAGTTGCTGTGTGTTCAAGTGCAGCCTGTCACACAGTTCATGTGTTCATATTGACTGACATAACAGAAAGAAGTGGTTTAATGGAAGCTGACATCTGATAAAATGCAACAGTGAATGGAAGCTCATGAAACTCATGAGCTTCAGTTTGCACTACAGGTCTGCCTCTAAAAAACCCATTTCCTTCTGCGATGATGATGATGATGATGATGATGATGATGATGATGATGATGATCCATGTGATCTGATACAGAGTCAGTCTGGATCCACTTGGGTATTACACACATTCATACAGGCCTGCAGAAATACAACAAGACCGAACCAGACCTGAGAACACTGAGTATGACTTTGACCCCAATCGACATGGGGCTGCACGCACACGCACACGCACACGCACACGCACACACACCACACACACACAGTCCAGTGCAGCCATGTCGTCCCATATGGTAGTGTTTGGAGGTGTGTATGTGTGTTTGTGTGTGTGTGTAAGAGACAGGAAGACATTAAGAGGAACAGGGCAGAGTTTTTAGCCCTGAGGCCTTTGCATGAAAAAGACCCTCATCAAGAACACACACACACACACACACACACACACACACACACACACACACACACACACACACACACACACACACACACACAGAGTAAGTGTTTGGGCTCTTTGTGGCTGTTGAATTAAATTTGTGTTTTGAAGAATAAAAATAAGTTTTAGGCTGTTTGGAGTCTTCGTGAAATATAATTTGTTTGGACACTCGGTCACACAAATGAGCAACCATACGCAGCTCTCATCATCGACAGAGCTGTTCGAGCCGTTTGTACCTCCGCTCCTGAGCTGTATGTTGATTAAAGGTCAGCTGTGAGTGTGTCCTATGTTCTCTGTCCCACATCTGGAACTGGTCTGGCCGGCCCAAACAAAATGAGGGAGAGGGGAGAAGTCTGCTACGTGAACCTTGAAAGCTGTAATTGAAGGAGTTCCTGCTTAATCAGATTCCTCCTTCTCTTCTTCCTTACTTCCTTCCTTCTCTGCAGGGTTGGTGATTACTTCCCCCATCATCCCTCACTCCCCCTTCTGATACTGAAACCTCCTTTTCTGCATCCTCCCTTCTTTCTAGCCTCCTCGCCTCTTCGCCTCTTTCCTTGTATCATTTCCTCCCTCCCTCTTTCCTTCCCTCCAGCACTGTGATTGATTGCACTTGATGTTCAGCTAACTGAGCCTGCAATTAGCTGTCTGATTACCCCAGGAACTGATTGTGTGTGTGTGTGTGTGTGTGTGTGTGTGTGTGTGTGTGTGTGTGTGGGGTGTGTGTGTGTGTGGTGTGTGTGTTTTGGGGGATTCCCAGGGGGAATTCTGCTCTCGTCAGGGTTTGAGGGTTTTGTTTGTAGATTTGTAGTTGATGTATGTTTTTTTTTTATTGCCATTTTGAGAAAGCGAACCACAGCAAAAAGCGAAGCGGCGTCATTTCCCAAATGTGTGTGCCGACTGTGTGTTGAATGTCCAACAGCTGCTTTTCAGAACTGCTAATAATGAACTGTTCTTTTCTTTTCTTTATTTCCTTTTTTTTTCTCCACTGCTTTTCTTCAGTTGTTTACTGATGTGACTCAGTCTGTTCAGGCCTCAGGGGGTGTGTGTGTGTGTGTGTGTGTGCGCTGTGCAGGATAATGATTATTACTAGTGAGAAACACCTGGCAACAGGAAGGAAGAAAAGTGTCTGTCTGTTTGAAAAATTGTCAGTTGTAAAGTATTAGCTCGTGGCGATGGGCAGGGTCACTGAGTACTGTGTTTTTAAAAAAAGTGCTTAAAGAACCAGTGTGTAGGGTTTTAGTGACATTATCTTAAATAATCATAATTTTATGAATAAACACTTTTGACATGTAATCAATTAAATAAACCCGACCACAGAGTGGTGACTATAGACGAGCCCCCAGGAAGAACGCCGGGCTTTAGTGGCCGAACTGTCTCATTACAGCAATGGTGTCCGTCATGTGATACACACTAAACCAAAAAGACTTAATTTATTCAAGTTAGAGCTAAAGCGGAAGTTAAAGGTTCGGCCGGCGGAAGCTGCTGGTGCGACAGTGTCCCACAGACCTGGGTTTATTTCTTTGCAGCGGGAAGTTGCTTTGATGCACCACTGAGCAGCTTTCATAGGAATGAACGGAGCGCCGCCTCCGACGCTGCATCCAGTTCGCTTTATACACCCATGCTACAGACGGAGAGGCAGCTACATCGGAGCCAGAGTGTCGCAGTTTAGAATTAATTTATATCGGCCATCAGATAAGAAAAAAGTGATACAGATCATCGGAAAAAGGCTAAATATCAGATCCGATAATTGGTCTGTTCCTAGTCTGAAGTCTGTCTGATTGTTGAGTATACTGATGCCCTAAGGCGCTGGTTCCCAAGCTGGGGGTCTTGACCTCCCACAGGGTTTGCCAAAGCTTTGCAAGGCCTTCTTGATTTAAAGGCGTACTAGAAAACGTATACACAGTAGACCTATATGTCAGCATTTGAAAAAAAAAATTGTAAAATAAATTGTTTAATAGAACCAAGCGTCAAAAAGCAGTGAATTTTGTCAAAAATGAAGCCTATCACTCCTTTAACACAAACCTTCAGTTCACTATTCGGGTTTATTGTACAGTTTTAAATATAATATGAAATGTCCATAATGTCACTAGATGATAATAAAGGGGTCCCTTAAGGAAAAAGGTTTGGAACCTCTGCTCTAAGGCCCTGTTCAGACAGACAACAGCACTGCATGAAAAAATGCCAACCCCTTTTTACCTCCCATTCATTTGAATGAGGCCGCTTCATTGACGCAGTGGGGGTCTTGACACAGAGAGATCCAGCAAAAAAAACCCAACAACCGATGTCAACCTTTGTTGCAACTGAATGTGGAGCCACCGGGCAAACAAAGTGTTACTGTGTTAAATAATGTCCACCATTTATAATTCACAGTCATTGCAATGAAAGATGTTTGGTGTTCTGCTGTCTCATAAATCTTTAAACTCTTTTGTGACTCGAACTGGACTTTATGGATTGTGTTTCATTGTCTCAGCAGCGCCTGAAGCAACATGCCCAAACTAAAGCACAACCTTGAGGTTTTTTTTAGCGTCATGGTGGTGTTTAAATGCAGAACCTGGCAGCTTGAGCTTTTCTGTGTGCACGTTCTCATGTGCTGTCAGTAAGAACCTTCCCTTGATTTTAATTAGCCTCCCATTTCATGCTGCCAGCAGGACATCTGTGCACAGCAGCATGTAAACCCTTAAAGGTCAAAGTTCAGCAGTAGAGGCAAACTGACTGCAAGATATATATAATTAAAAAGAAATCATAGGATTGAACTGTGTGTGTACTTTTCTGTCTAAGGACTGTTTTGAGGACATTTTTTGAAAGTGAAGACACGTCTCACTGTCCTCACTTCTTCAAAAGGCTTTTGATGGTTCAGATCTGGTTTTAGGGTCTATGTTAGGTTTGTTTTAAGGTCTAGGGAATGTGTTCTGGCAATGAGGGTCTTCACAAGTATATAATTACAAACGTGTGTGTGTGTATGTGTGTGTATGTATGTGTGTGTGTATGTGTGTGTATGGATGGGTTGTTGAGGTACAGTGACTGCTAATAAGCGTGGCACACTTTCTATAACACACACACACACACAGTAGGGGGTCTGTCTGATTGGTTTCAGGTGTGTGTGTGTGTGTGTGTGTGTGTGTGTGTGTGTGTGTGTGTGTGTGTGTGTGTGTGTGTGTGTGTGTGACCACAGTCTGACACCTCTGTAACAAGCCTGAAGGTGGAGTGTGTGTGTGTGTCGGTGTGTGTGTGTTACCCAGCAGGGCAACATGAAAACAAGGTCAAAGCTGTAAAACTGTTGAAACAGTCGAGGCTGAAACGTACCTCATGAGAATCGATGTCTTTGTGTCGGGACACAGAGAAAGGGATTCTGGGTAACTGTAGCTCACAAGGGAGTCGATGTTCACACCTCAGCTTATCTCAGTACTCATCATGTGTTACTGTATCTGCTCTCTTTTGTGTTAAATGGAGCTGCTGGGTGGAGCGTGGAAGGATATCCTTTGAGTTAAATAAATGTAGAACCAAAGAGCAAATAGTGCAACTTTTACCCCTGAAAAACCAAATCCAGTTGATTTTTTTTCACAAAGAATCTAATAATAAGCTAATAAGCAGAACGTATTATGTCATTGGTATCAATAAAATCGTATCAATTAATGGTCCCTGGGGTTCATGTTAGCTGTTTTCTGTCTGGGAGAGGAGGTTATTGGGCTCTAACCTGTGACTGATGTATGTTTCCTGTCAGTTGATACAGAAGTGGAAGCAGTCGGTCAATCTGTGATCAAACAAACATTTAAGTGTCATTTCCTTAAGCCGACTTACAAAAACCGTGCACAGCTGCTTTTACTGGTCGTTCGAGGTGATTCTTCTGGCCCTGGCACAGGAAGATGACCTCCCCATTCCCAGTCTCACCCACAGAGCTCAAGTCTCAAGTCAGCTTTATTTGTCAAATAAACAAAAAATAAAATAAAAAAATCTCTGATTGGTTGACTGTTAATCCCACATTTAGAAACAGCTGCCACCCAATCAAAGAACCAGGCTACTTAAAGACAGCCACACAAATAAAAAATGATTATGTCTGATTATGAATGGTAGCCCACAGATGATTTAAACGATTTTAAGGGGCCTAAATAATCTAACAAATGTTATTCTCTCTCTTTCAGGTGCAGTCTGGTGCAGATGGAGGTCGCAAGTTGGCCGTCACCTTCAGAGCTGACAGTGAGTTTCTATAAATCAGAATAATGACTTTAGTTTATCTTAAATTCCCCAGTTGTTGGAGCCGTGTTTACTTTAGGTAATCAGGAATAAAATTGATCATCATGCAGGCGTTGGGGCGCCATATTAATCCTACATCCTCAATCATCAATCACACAGTTTGATCTGAGCCTAAAACTAGTTTTTTATTTTCTGTCGTTGTTACTCAGCGTGAATATCTGAGGCCCCCTCACTCGTCATCTTCACCCCCATCATCCTTTTCCTCCTCCAACATTCTCCTCCTCCACTTCGTCTTTTGTTCTTTTCTCTCTTAAAGTCAAGTTCCTGAGCCGTAGCCGATCCCTGCCTCCTGCCTTTGTCCGTGACCATGAGCGAGAAGCACTTTCAGATTAGTGTGTGTGTGTGTGTGTGTGTGTGTGTGTGTGTGTGTGTGTGTGTGTGTGTGTGTGTGTGTGTGTGTGTGTGTGTGTGTGTGTGTGTGTGTGTGTGTGTGTGTGTGTGTGGAAAGAGAGTCTGTGTCTATTTGCAGTTTTCAAGCTGTCCCTATATCAAACTGCAAATTGACTATTTTAAAAGAGTCTGTTTAGAGAAAAATATTTAAATAAGAATAAAATAAAAGTGTAAAAACAGTAATAATAACAATAATCAATCGGTTCTGGTCTTTTCTAGAAATAATACATTCAGGACTTTGAAGTGTGACTCAGATTTATATAATATAATTTAGATGACTAAATAACACTCTGCTAATCAGTTTAGTTTTTCATTGAATCCTGATTCAGATCAAATCTGCCATAAATGACATAAACCCTAAAATGGATCCAATAAATTATTTTCACTATCAATCACAACTTCCCAAAATCTAGATATCTTGTTTAGTCCAGAACTAAAAGGTATTCAGTTTAATATCATATGTGAGAAAGAAAGCCTGAAAACCAGAGAATCTGTGGCATTCTTTCACAATTTCTGCTCCTCTCTTTGGACAGAGGCAGGCTAGCAGTTTCCCTCTGTTTCCAGTCCTTATGCTAAGCTTATCTAACCATCTTCTGGTTGTAGCTTCATATTTACCCATACAGATATAAGAGTGGAATCAGTTTTCTTATCAGACTCTTGGTAAGAAAGCAAATAACTGATTTCCCAAACTCAAAATATTCATTTAACTACAACGTATTATCTTTACTATTCAGTGTAAGCAGAGGGTTGTTCTCTCTGAGGGTTTTCCAGTCGGTTTCAGCTCCTTCCACATCTCCTCATTAAATCTAATCTTAATACATAATCAGTCATCAATAGTGCTGAGGTCAGGGGTCAGAAGGGCATGTGACATTGAAATGATGATGCATCCTCTTCCCAAGAACAGAGGAAGTAAAAAGTGCTGAAACCCACACACTTTAAGCCAACGTAAAGCACTGAGGTGTTTTAGCATGACAATCAGAGCCAGCTCATTGTGTGTGTGTGTGTGTGTGTGTGTGTGTGTGTGTGTGTGTGTGTGTGTGTGTGTGTGTGTGTGTGTGTGTGTGTGTGTGTTGACGGAGTGACACACCTCACTGCTTCCTTTCCGCTTTTTTATCCTCCAAAAGCTTCATCCTCAGCTGCTTCTGGAGGATGAAGGAGAGTCAGGGAGTTCTCTTTCTCACTCTGTTTGCAGCGATGTCATGGGGAATATAAAGCAGGCTGACCTTTGACCTCCATTAGGAAGGTGATGAGCTCAGCAAAATACTAAGGTCTGATCATATTATATATTTTATTATATATATTTATTATATATATTATCATATTATATAGAAGTCGAAACACGGCTACATTGGTCTCATGATTTAGCCTCTGGGATATCTGTGATGTGAAAACATCATTAGATCTCCACACAGTCAAAGAAAGTGAAAGTGTTCATTTATAAAATCTCAGCGCACCAGAAAGCGTCTCTCCTGCCGGGCTGCTGACGGCTCTGTCAGTGGACGGCAGTAGAGGAGATTGTAGCACCGTCCGGTTCAGAAGAGCTTTAACTGACTTCACTGACAGTCCCTCTTGTCCACTTCTATCTATGTTAGTTTTGTGGATTGTGGTCATTAAGTTCACAACCTGCTACGCTGTCAGTCTTTTTACTATGATGCACATCTGACAAAATGTGAGTCGACTCGCGGTCGTATCGGCTGATTATTCAAATCATGGACTTTTCAGGGGCAGCCCTACCTGATGTATCTCTTTCCTCTGTGCCATAGAGCTTCATTGTTGTTCAGGAACTGACACACGAACACTGAAACACAAAACGTTTTAAAGATTCAAATCTTCAGTAGAAACCAGTGCCATAAACAAGGTAGAGAAATTACTGAGAGATTGAACGAATAAGAAAAGTTTATAAAAATCTGCAATAACTCTTCAGTGGTTTCAGTAAGAACCTTCCAATCAGAGAGACAGTCATGTGCTCTGCTAACAGAAAACTAAAGATTATACTTATTACTGAATCTGTAATTCAGTTCAGATTCTGGATCGGGGTTTTGATCCAAACTGCAACAACAAAAGATTTTGAGTTTGCAGCAGCTCTGAACTGGATGCTTCTTTATAGCAACAGCTGCAGAAGCTCATGGGTATCGTAGTATTTAGAGCTGATCTCCGTATCAAACTGACAGATTTCTCAGAAACACACTTGGAGTAGTTTGGATGACGAGGAAGAGCTCAAACATTTTTAATTTGAAAGAGATAAAAGTACATGAGGAAGAGGAGCAGGCCGCTGTGAACTGTCTCCTTCATCTTCCTCCACCTTCCCTGGTTCACCCCTTAAGGAGCGTTTTTAAAAACTGGAATAAGAACAGGAGGAAGAGGAACAGGGAGGTGACAAACTACCTCTTCCTCAAGCAGTAAACTTCTACTTTTCACATCCTTCTGTCATCCTCCTCTTCCTCCTCTCCTTTGTCTTTTGAAGAAACTCTGAATACAAAGAGGAGGAAAGGGGGAAGAAGAGGCAGAATTTGCGACCTTCCCCTTCCCCTTATATCTTATAGAGAAGCTTTATGATTGAGGAAGAGGAGGAGAAGCTGGAGGAAGAGGAGTGCCCAGCCGTGACCTTCTCCTTTAGCCCTGGACATGACCCCGCTTTGAGGAAGCGAGAAGGAAGAGGAGCAGTGACTCGTGTCGTATCCCATGCTCTCCTAACCTCCTCTCAGTCATCTCCATCCTTTTTAAGCTCCTGTCCTCTGTCCCATCTTCCTCCTCCTCCTCCTCCTCTTCCTCACCTCAATCCTCTCCGTCAATAGGTGGCTGGCAGGAGGAAAGGGGAGCAGTCAGTCGTGTCTGAGCTCACGCCCCTTTTTCTTTCTGCATCCTAAATCCATCTTTTCTCCCCTGATCCCTCTCGGTTCATGGCTGGCTGCTCCTCCTCCTCCTCCTCCTCCTCCTCCTCCCCTCTGCCCCATCCATCTTCGTCTTTCATGAGATAAAATTAGGGAACAGGAGGAGGCGGGGCAACAGTGCACATGATGACTGGAGATATTCAGCAAACACTCGTAACTTCAGATTTTAAGTGATGTTGCGTTGTCAGGCCAACAGCGACCTGCCTACACCTTAATGAAGAGAACTTTTAGATCAGTGATATGATATCATCAGGCCACATGATAAATTTAAAACTATATTGTAAGTCGAACTGTACAGTCATACAGGATGAAGTGTAAATTATATAGGAAACTCAGAATTGCTTTATAGTAATGCAGTGTACAAAAATCATGTTTGTGTTTAGGAGAAAATTCAAAATAAGAGAAAATTGGTTCTCCTAAATCAGTACAGGCCACTTTAGAACGAATATGTTCGTACGAGCGGTTCTTGCATGAGGCCCAGTGTCTATGAGAAAGTGATCGTGACTCCTCAATTCACGACTCTTTTCAAAACTCTTCCTCGCTGCAGTTAGACACAAACAACAGCCTGTATAAATTAAAAATGGACGTAGTCTCCGTGACGTCACCCACAGGTTTCTGAAGAGCCGTTGTGAAGCTCCAGCTAATTCAGAAATTATATGACACTAATTAGCTCCAACCTTACCAGCTGCAACATTAAAGCGATGTAATATTACATCACATGCAATAATTAAACAATCCAATATGCATTTTGCCTTTTTCTGAAATGGGCCTTTCTGCGTAATGAGTCATTTTACTGAGTAAAAGTTGTTAAAATATGCAATTATTAGTCAGAGAGGATCAAGTGTGTTTGTGCTGTTGTTGATCTCTCTCTCTCTCTCTCTCTCTCTCTCTGTGTCGATGTCTCTCACCCTGCAGACTGCTCAATAAACTACCCGCTGGGGAAACATGTGATCCATGAGGTCACCAACGTCTCCTTCAGCCATCTCGCCTGTGAGGATCAGGCCGCCGTGGTCGTCCACTGGTCCGCCAGTCCACTAGGTACCTGTCTGTCTGTTCACCTGTTTGTTTCCTTATGTGTTTGTCCATCTGTGGGATTGTTTACGTGCTTCTCCACAGGGAGAGATTGACAGAAAGGAGGAAAAGTGAGGGTGGAGTAAAACCTTCAAAGTGCTCAAATCCCTAAGATTACTCAGCCATGTGTGTCTGTGTGTGTCTGTGTGTGTCTGTGTGTGTCTGTGTGCGCTGTGTGCGTCTGTGTGCCTTTGATCAGGCCTGGAGAATAAGAGAGAGGATCACATCTCGCGCTACAATACCACGATTTGACCGTGAAGGAAGGAGTGTGTGTGTGTGTGTGTGTGTGTGTGTGTGTGTGTGTGTGTGTGTGTGTGTGTGTGTGTGTGTGTGTGTGTGTGTGTGTGTGTGTGTGTGTGTGTGTGTGTGTGTGTGTGTGTGTGTGTGTGTGTGTGTGGTCTGAACCTCTCGCTCTCTCTCTCTCTCTCTGTGACAATACAGCCTGTTGTTTTCTCACAGAGACACAGAAATCTTCCAGAAATCTTCCATGTCACAGTCACACAGGCCAGAATCCGTCATCTGGAGACCAAAAAAAAACAAAAACTGGGAAATGTTTTTCTTCTGGAACGTGTTTCCTTCAGCTGCTCAACATGTTTCCGATGTTTCCTGCTGCAGCCGGAACAGAGACTGAAGATGAATCTGATATAAACTGAAATGATAAATGAAAGCCTTTAAGTTCAGGTTGTTTTATCATATTTTACAACACATTTACAGATTTTACTAAAGGAATATCTGCTAATACAAAAATTAGACGTAATTGAAACTGAATATCATTAATTCTGTCACATAAATATGACACGATACTGTCTGTGAGCAGTAAAAGTTTCTTTTCTGATTTAGATTTTACAGACTGTAGCAGGTGGAGGCTTTGGCCGGTTGTGGTTTGTGGAGAATTGAGGCTATGACAAGAATTATGGGACCCTCATCATATTACATAACCAGTTCATGTTGTTTTCATTGTGAATTATTTGAATGTTATGAATCGGGATTAGGAATTGATTGCAGCCTTATAAATTTACCTCAGACAGATATTCTGAAAGGTCATTCAGCGGCTGCTTCAGGTGGAGCTCTTGAATGTGGTCTTTCCTGCAGCACCTGATATTTACACTTGGGGACGTGCCGCATGTGTTTTACACTTTAGTCATAATACTGCAGAGACACAATCTTTTCCAGGTGGATGAAAGCTAAAGGTGGTCTCCTGTATGGCTGCACGATGTGGTAAAAACATCATATTGCGTTTATTTTGACAGATAATGCGATATGATTCACGATTAGTTTGGGAATCCTCATTTTTGCATCACAAATTTGATTTTCGATTTATTGTGGAAAGATAGTTTTAACAACTTTATGCAGAGTTTTATGCATTGTTTCTTTTGTGATTATGCAATCTAGACCCAAGCTTAGATCTCACACGAAACACATCATGGAGAAGAAATCCATGTGCAACCGTATACCCTTATCATGATATCATTGCTCTGATTGTTGCTGGTGGTCCGCAGTGATTTTCCACTTTCAGTATCAGACTCCACAGCTGTTCTCTCTGCTGTGTTGCAGTTGAATGATGGTGAAGGACTCAGTCGCGTTTAAAATAAGCTCAGTTAAACTTCTAAGAGTCTAAAGCAGGGGTCTCGAACTCAAATGGGCTTGGGGGGCGCTGCTTGTATTGTCATCTCAAAGGGTCATTTCAACGTTTTAGTACAATAAGAAAGCTGAAAATATTTCCATTACTAACATCATACTTGTAAATGCAAACAGCAGTTTCTATACGTTGTTTATCATCATTGTTGTTCACAGTCAAACAACAAATGAAGCCCCGAAACTTTCTCTCTTCTTAGGAACCGTTTGCAAGTTAAGTTGATATAAAACTACTAGAAAAAAGTATTATGTGAGGATTTGCTGCTTTTTATTTGTGTTTTATGTCACTGTAAACTGAATGTCTTTGGACTGTTGGATGAGACAAGACATTTGAAGATGTTACTGTTGGCTGTTTCTACTTTAAATGATGAAAATAGAAAATGTGATCATAAGAAATCATAAGAATTCATCCTTCAGGGAACATGTGCTGTACAGTTTGGACCAGACAGACAGGATGATTCCTATCCATAGAGTGGTGTCGCTAGGTTGGTTAAAAAGTATACGATTCTTAAATGTGCATACCATCAGACATTATACTGAAGGGAGGGAAGAAAAGAAAAACCAAGCACAAGCCTGCCGTCACGCTGCAGCTGTCGCTAACATGCAAAAACATCCTCGTCTGTCCTCAACTCTGCAGGAGAGAGAGAGCTGTTCAGGAATCTGCCTGAAGACATAAAAACCTGTTCTACTAGTGCTCGCTCTCTCTTTCTCTCTCTCTCTCTCTCCACTCCCCACAGAGCTAATAGGAAAAACATGTCCTGTGGATGTAAAGGTGTAATTACAAGACAGATGCGATTTCAAAGAGCAGAAAGGAGGAGGAGGAGGAGGAGGAGGAGGAGGAGGAGGAAACAAGGAAACAAGGAGAAGAGAGGAGGAAGGGGGAGAGTAAGCAGGGGAGGGAAGGGAACAAGAGGAGGAGAGGAAGGAAGAAAGTAGAGAAGGAGATGGGAGGAGAAGAAAGTGAACAAGGAGAGGAGATGAGGAGAACAGTGGAGGAAAGGAAAAAATCTGATAGAAACTAGGTGTTGAGGAAAGGAAGCAAGGCGAGGATGAGAAGCAGGGAGATGAAGGAAAGGAGAAAAGAGATTAGTCAAACAAGAATAGATAGAGGGGAGGAGAAAAGGAAAGGAAACGAGGAGCGAAGGATGGATGTGGATAATTGTTGGAGGACGGTGAGACTGAACTTGTTATTGTCTCTCTTCAGGAATCGAACACATTAAAGGCTTCAGAGTTTATCTGGAGGACAAGAACCCAGAAGGGAAACAGTGTCAACATCTCATCCTCAAAGACCCACGACAGCTCAACTTCTCCTACAAGAACACGGTAGGACCAAAAATAATGACAGCGCTTAAGTTCACGACTAATGTTGGGGCCTTGAAGAGACTGCGGTTGTGTTGAAAAGGTTATTGGATGTAATCATTAACCTTCCTCCACATACTGGCTATAAGGGATCCCTTCCGGACTCCAGTGTGAGACATGTGGTTCTGTCCAAACTTGCTGCAGCGGAGGAATACGTTATGAGATTTGCATGTAGATTTGTTCATTTGTTCAGGACCCCGAGAAGATTAGAGGCAGTTAAGTGTACTTTAATGGGGATCTTTTAATAAACAAACAACAATCATCAATAGTATACAGTTTTCTTAATTTCCTCTGAATGGTAAACAGACCGATGTTCACAACAACTTATCGTATTATCTGTTGTTGATTTATTATTACTTTCCTCATACAGAAGCTGAGCAGTCAGCCGTTCAGCGGTTTGACCTTTGACACCGACTACATGGTTCGTGTTGTTCCTTTCCCGACTCTGATGAATGAGAGCTTCTTCCCACCGTCCTTCCTCAGGACCAACTGTGAGTCCAGAAACCTCCTCATCAAAACTGGATCAGTTAGTTAACTGATGATTTATTGTCGTACTCAGAGTCAGATCCGAACATGTTGCATGTGTTTAGCTTAGCTTAGCACAAACACTGGAAGCAGTAGGAAACTGCTAGCCTGAGGGAGTAAAAAAAAAAAAACCTTTCAACAAATCCAACTGCGATGTGTTTTAACTACAGATGATAGATATACAGATGCAACAGATTTCCATCTGAGGAAGACTGAATAAAAGGTTTATAGTTTATAGGGACAAACTGTCTAACCGTTTCTGTGTGTGTCGTCTTACAGCATGTGAAGTCCTCCTGGGATCAGACAACCTGGTTTGCAAACCCTGTAAGTTCCTCAGTGTCGTCGTCATAACCAGAGCCATATGTAGACCGAGTTAGTCCAGGGTTTGATTGTCTTGCTCTTAGAGTAGTTAAATGTAAGTAAACCATTTCCACAAACTCATTTTTGAGCCTAAAAGACTTGAACTAGTTTCTCTTTGTGGATGAAGGTTTTAATCCAATCTCTACGGTAAAGAATCTTGTTGTTATTTGAGATATAAAGTCGTATATTCTTTATCTCTGGTGCAGATGTTTCACTTTAAAAGCAGACAAGAGAGGGATTATGTTTTGTCATCTTTGCCATGTCTTTGAAGGAAGTGTTGAGTTTGACAGCTGCTTAATTTACAGATCGAAACACACAGTTACTGAAAACAATATTAGTGTTAGAGAAAGTAACTGAGAGCAGCAAAGTGTTGAGTACGACATGATCAGGATTTGTGTAGTGGACAGTCATTTTTTTTGCTTTTTTGGGGATGTTGTAGGAGATCTAGAGAAGATGTAGAGATATAGAGAAGCATCAAGCATCTTATTTTTTTACTTTCCCTTTTGTTTCAGGATACTCCCATTCAATGTTTATACTTGTCTGACTATTTATCCAATTATATAACCTTAATATTGTCAGAAAAATGGCCTGTCTGTTGTTGTGCTGATGGAATTAGTGCTGCGGAAATGTACATTATATTGAGTTCTGAAAACAGGGGCTTACCTACATTCCTACTAAGGCTAAAGTATGATCATATATACTAAACATGGTACATTTATAAATAAAGACCTGGTTTTCTCTAATGTTGAGATCAAGAAGAAAACTGACAGTCCATGGTAATTGACACATTTAATTAATACCTACTGCAAATGGTTGATTGCATCATTAAGTTACAATTAAGTTTTTTCTGTGTCTGTGCAGTCTGGAAGCCAAAGACCCTGAACGTGTCTCAGCTGGGGTCGAACCTCCACGTGGCATTCGACCAGGCTCCGGCCTCCTTCGGCTTCCACTTCTACTACCTGTACTACAAACTGCGGCAGGACGGACCCTTCAGACTGCAGCGCTGCAAACCAGTGAGTATTCAGGTTTGGAAAGTCACAAAACATTTCTGTTTCTGCCACTGGAAGGAGTTTTCAATTGATTTTGTAAATTTTATTAATATGTTTCCTGTGTTCAGGACATGAACCAGGCCAGGACTACATGCATCCTCCAGGACGTCACTCCAGGGACCTACACTATAGAGGTACATGAACGCAGCACAGGACTGAGACAACACACACAACACCTTGACCTGATTTAAAGACAAAAAATTCTCAGTTTTAAAATTTAAATTCATATTTATCTGTTTGTACACTGACTTTATAATTTGTCTTTCTTCTGTTCCCTCCTTTTCTTTCACTACTTTCCTCTTTTTTGTGTCAGCTGAGAGACGACAGTAACACCACCAGGAGGCAGACTCAGTACCACGTCAGCCAGGGTAAGACCCTCGAACACACACACACACACACACACACACACACACACACACACACACACACACACACACACACACACACACTTTCTATAGCAACTGTCTATGGTTGCAATTGAGGATTATTTTCAATATTGATTAATCTGCATATTATTATCTCGATTAATCATTTGGTCTATTAAAGGTCAAAGTAGTGAAAAATGCCCATTACAGTTTCCTGCCCAAAATGATGTCTTATCATATATTAGATGTATAAAAGCAGCATGCAGGTAAACAACAGAGACAAAAATCAGATTAAATGATCTCATATATTTCATTAAAATGTGTTAAAAATGTTGATGTAATGTTGATGTTGTTATAATAAAGTCATAATCCTGTTTGAACATCATAATCTGATGATTTCTTTAATCTGGCTCTGTCATTTCATGCTGGGCAGATAGTATACACTTAATTTATGTGAGCTGGAGGTGGCTGTATATGGTGTTACCACAGATAAACCTGCACAGAGCTGGCATCTATCTTTGCTGACTACATCTCAGCATTTCTTACCATCAGGAGTGTAAAAACTACAGGTTACAAGCTTCTTTTTTAAAATACAAAAATGTCAAATGATCAGTTATCTTATCGGTATCAGCTGAATGTGTGTTTTGAAGCTGCAGCCACAGTTAATATTGGTTTGCAAAGGTTTGTGCTACTATTGCAGACATCGAGCATTTACCTTTATCCCTTAATTGTAACATAGTTGTCACCTACAATTACTTTGAATGATCTCATCCTTTTGTTTAATGCTGTGTGTGTTTGTTTTCATCTCCAGTCCACTCCCCCTGGGCGGGGCCTATCCGTGCCATGGCCATCACAGTGCCTCTGGTCATCATGTCTGCCTTCGCCACTCTCTTCACTGTCATGTGTCGCAAGAAACAGCAAGGTGTGAGAGCCTGAGAGAATCAATCTCCTGCACTCTTTAATGAACTATCCACTGTTTAATGAAGTTGTGAGCTGGGAATAGTTTCAAAACTCAGTGATGCTGCATTATTTGAGAGTTGACAAATGTAGCATTATTCTAATAATTGTCCATTTGTTTCCTCTCATTTTAGAAAACATCTACAGCCAGCTGGACGAGGAGAGCAGTGAGTCGTCCAATCAGAGTGCAGCATTGAACACGGAGCGTCCGTGGCCCCGCCCCAAAGTCTTCATCTGTTACTCCAACAGAGACTGTCCCAAACACATCAACGTCATCCAGAGCTTCGCCTACTTTCTGCAAGACTTCTGCAGCTGTGAGGTGAGCAGATGGATGATAACCGGGGAAAGCCTTAAAAATGATTTAAATCAAAGTTCCCTTTTGGAGGTTGGGTGTGGTTGTTAAATGTTCACTCCTGTTCAGGTTGTGTTGGACCTGTGGGAACACCTGGAGATGTGCAAAGAGGGTCAGATGTCGTGGCTCAGCAGACAGCTGGACGAAGCCAACTTCATCATCACCATCTGTTCCAAAGGCCTACGGTAATTTCTCTACCGTCAACTGCGTTTCTGTCAACTTACCTTCAGCTGCAGTTCCTCCAGTGGCCACTAGATGCTGCTAAAACACTGACTGAAAAAACATGAATAAGAAGTTAGGTACTCAGTAGTTATTATGTGTTTTTGTAGATATTCTAGATATTATTTCATTAAACAGCTCTCAACCTATCTGTCTTCTTTCCTTCACTCTGACCCCATTTGTCTCCTTCTCTTTATCGCTCTTTCCATCAATTTATAGCTCCACCTTGCTGTCCAGACAAATAGGGACCACATTCAATGAACAAAAAATAAAGTAGAAACAAATAATAAATATATAAACAATAACATAATAAATAATAATTCTTTCTATAATAATGATAATAATTATTGTTGTTATTATTATTCATTATTATTGCCATTACAGCACATACATGCCAATGTGTCATTGCCACCTGTGGCTGTAATGCCAGAATGTTTCATATGTAACACAAAAACTATACATTATATATGTGTATGGGCTTGTATGTGTGTGTGTATGTATATATGTAGTCCTTGTTCCTTATTTTAGAGATGGATCTTCTACCTGTTGATTTATTTATAGATTTATTTTCCTTCCCTTTCCTTTATAAGGTGTATTCTTTGTCTCCAGTTGGCACATGTGTATCACTTTTGTTTACTTATCCTCTCTAAAAGAAAAAACTATGTTACGCCAAGAATACCACATCATGTATCTCAGATCTGTCTTATACAACCAAACATCATAATAGTTTATTACAAACATACACACATGCATAACACGTATACATGTACACATGCATACATATTTTTTTTTCAACCTGTGAAAAAGTAGATTAAAGCTACAGGAACTGAATTTTTGGCCACTTTGGGAGGAGGAGAAACCATTATCATACATTGGTAGCTTCTCAATGCTCCACTGTGTTCACCAGCTTGTCAAAAACCATCTGCTGTTTGCTGCTGAGTAAATTATGTGTAAAGGGGCTTTTTAGGACTGTTTTGTGTTGAAAACACCTTTTACATTGGTGTCACGTTGCCATTTGATACATTGTTATTATAAAAATATCAATAATCTCAACTAAAGTCTCACCAAAGTTGAGAGAGCTGCGAGCGACAACTGCCCCGCTGTGGAAGTCCCCAAACCTTATGAAACATATTAACTAACCCAAAGGTGGAGTATCAAGTCTTCTCTAGACTAAGACATGACATTAAGTAATTAACCAACCTCTTGCTTTACATCTTTCCTTCCATCCATGTTTCCTTGATTTTTTATTTTTATTCTTTAGATTGTCTTCTAACCGGCTCAGTTTTCTTCCTGCAGCTACTACGTGGAGAAGAAGAGCCGCCGAGGGAAGACACCGGTCAGTCGCCGTGGTAACAGCAGCAGCAGCTCTCCAGTCGGTGGTTCAGGCAGTGACCTGTTCATCGTGAGCGTGGCCATGATCGCTGAAAAGCTGCGGCTGGCGAAACAGAGCGAAGGGGGCGGGGCTCAGGAGCTGAACCGCTACATGGCGGTTTACTTCGACTATTCAACAGAAAACGACATCCCCACCATGTTAAGTCTGGCTCCCAGGTAAATCCAACAGAAACACCTTCAAAAGATAGCGTGGTCGGTTTATCAAGAAAATAAATAATCGATAATGAAAACAACAAACAACATGTAGAAAAGAGTTCTTAATGTTTTCTGGCGTTAAAGTTGAAACTAATGTATTCCTGTGTTTTTAGGTTTAAGTTAATGGACCAGCTGCCTCAGCTCTTCAGTCGGCTCCACTCCAGTCAGTCCAGTTTCTCTGATCGCGAGTCGCAGCCTCACAACGTCTCCAGGAGGAACTACTTCAGGAGTAAATCAGGGCGCTCGCTTTACGTTTCTATCTGCAACATGCACCAGCACATCAGTCAGAACCCTGACTGGTTTGAGAAGCAGCTGGCTCCTTCTGGAGGCTCCTCGCCCTCTTCTGCCTCCTCCGGCTCCTCCTCAAAACATCCTCCTCTCCCTGCTGACCCGGCTCCGAGCCCTCCTCCGAAGCCTCACTGCTCCTCGTCCTCCGCCTCGTCTCAACCCGAGCAGAAGTTTGACTCTGGCTTGGTGCTGAATGAGGTGGCGGTGAAGATGCCATCGCTAGAGTGCGGAAAGGGAGGGCCAAGGAGGAACTTGCTCCTGCTGGCTCCTGGCTCCAGTCCTAGCCTGAACCTAGGCATCAGCCACAGTCCCAGTCCAAGTCCTGGTCCCTGTCCCAGTCCTGGTCTCTGCCCCAGTCCAGGCCTGCCACATTGCTCTCTGTCTATGCTGGGACCCACTTCAAGGTAGAGCAAGGTGTAATACTGCTGTAGTTTTTAATGTTTTGCTGTGAGCATTGAAGCTTAATTTCTTTTATTTTGGTCTTTAAAGGACTAGTTTAGATTTTTTAAAGTTTATCTTGATACAAAACTCACATGCCTGTTAGTACATTGGAAGAGTTTTGGTCTCTGTAATAATTTGTCTCTCTCCCTCTAGACTGTAAAAGTCTGTTGCTCTTCCGTGGTGTGGTGGTTTGCTGGTTTGAGTGATCATTGATTATATGAGACCATTCGTCAGTCTGACTGCTTCTGCTTTTCTGCTCCTTCAGGTCAACTTCTGGAATATCTGGCGAGTTACCAGGAGAATCCTCCTCCTCCTCCTCCTCCTCCTCCTCCTCTGCTCCCTCTATCCTCCAAGATGATATATGCCCTGTTGCTACCCAGGCAGAAGAAAGCGGTCTTTCCCCTCCAGAGCTCCCGCCTCCTCGGGATTCGGGCATCTATGATTCGTCAGTCCCTTCCTCAGAGCTGTCCATTCCCCTAATGGAGGGACTTTCACATGACCAGGCTGACTCCTCCTCACTGGCCGACAGTGAATCATCTTCTTCTGGGCTGGGTAAGGCTGACTGTACAACAAATTCTTAGAAACTGGCCTGATGTCTTTTGCCGTTAAAATATCATTCCATTCTATTATTCTGTGTGGTTCTAATTTCATTTTAATTTCTTTCATGTCATTTCCTCTCTCATTTCCTTGTGTGACTGTTGACTGGAAAATCAAATGGCGTCGCTCAAACATGGCCGCGTGTCTTTCAGGTGACGAGGAGCCACCTGCTGTTACGTCGCTCCACTGCAGCGCTGCCACAGTTTGTAAAGCTGAGCTGCACCACCATCACCACCTGGAGCACAGTGAAGGACTCGCACCTGTGGCGTCATTGTAGGGGACATCTCCTGCCCATCATAAGAGGACAAGTCCAGTACTGTCATCACAGGGCCAAAAATGTGTTGGACCTGAAACCCTATCTTAATAGTTCTGTGATCCCATCGTCATGGAAACAAAACTGGAATTAATTAAAAGGCACTGCAGTGGTTCAACCGATGGAAATGACTGAGTTCTAGAATGCTGGTCTGCAGTAACTATGGTAACCACTGAATTACAGAACACTTGCAAGTATGGTTACCACTCAGTTTTAGAATACTAGCCCTTGGTAACTATGGTAACCACTGCATTCTAGAACATTGACAGCTGTAAGAAATATGGTATCCACTGGTTTCTAGAACACTACTCTCCTGGTAACTATGGTAACCACTGAGTTCTAGAACACTAGTCCCTGGTAACTATGGTAACCACTAAGTTCTAGAACACTGGTCTTGTTCCCAGTAATTACGATAACCACTGCATTCTAGAACATTAGTCCCCGGTAACTATGGTAATCACTACATTCTAGAACAATAGTCCAAGTAACTATGGTAACCACTGGGTTTTAGAACACTACTCCCTGGTAAGTATGGTAACAATTGTGTCTAGAAGACTCGTCACTGGTCGCCCTGCTGGAGGATTTTTGAAGGACTGGATCTTCGGACGCTGGCAGAGCAGACCAGTTCAAACCAAAGACTGCCTCAGCACTGCGTCTCGATTGATTGATTGATAGACACCTGACTCATGTATGAGTTGATGTTCGGTACCAAAACATGATGCTGAAACAAACTGTTTATTCAAGCACTTTTTGATGCAGAAACACAGGAAGACACAACGCCACAAACATGTTCCCCGGCAACGACATCTAACAGGATCAAAGCAGCTTCTGAGATCCACAAAGGTTTTTACCAAAAGCTGCTGAATGTATTAACACCTTAAGTGTATTATTCTCAACATTTAAGACCAAAACCAAAAACCGTATATTCATAAATGAATGCTGTCCTTTAAAAAGTGCCAGTTTTTAATGTAATATGCCTTTCTATTTTAGGAGGAGCATTTTTCATTATAAAGGGGAATTCCCCCAAAACAGTTTAGAACATTTTATCAATAAGCTCTGGATTTTATTGAGTTTTTCCTCTCATGTTTTAACATCATACCTTATTTTAAAATGTTTTCAACATAGACAACACAATGTTTGTTGACAATGACTCATCGTTGGAGCAGCAAGTGACATGATGACCACTGCCTAATCGTGAATCATTAAACCGTCAAAGAAAATGTACTAAAACCTGCTAATGTGATATAAAATGGTGGAAGAGTTGTGTGAGCTATGTGTTAAATTGAAATTAAGTTTTTATTGCATTTTATTTTGTCTGCATGTTAATTTACAAATTCAGAACATACAATTCAAACTCATTTAGCCGTTGTTGCCACTCCTACACCATAACATATTAAGTACTGTGGTTACATTGTTATGCTTAAGGTTACATATTTTAAAGTATTGAATATTATTGTTACATTTACAGTTATATATTTCTTAATGCTTTGTAATCGTTTTCTAACATTGTTGCAGGAAGCAGCGATGATGAGGGCATTATGAAAAGTGACACTTTTGTTTTAAAATTGTAAACCACTTTAAATATGCCACTATGGAAGCCCATTCCTGCCAGAACATGAAATAAATACATAAAATGTTGTTAAATTTGTCCAATGAAACAAGAAATTTATGTCACATTTTTGATTTACTAAGTCAAACTTAGGAGATACAAAGTTTAAATTATGAGATTAAGTCCCCCAGAAATAAGTCAACATTTTGATTTTAAAAAGATCAGAAAGTAAGTCGTAATTTTGATTTAGAACCTTTAAATTATTTAATAGCTGTGACTTAGTAATTATTATGGCTTAACTTGAAATCTTAGTTTTTTTCATATTGTGGTATAAATGGGCTTCCGTACACTTCATCCCATGAACATATTACATAACTGGAACCTTTGTTTCGGGACTGAACCATGTTTTCCTTGTTTAAAGTTTTATAAAGTCTTATATTTTCTGACTGAAATGTTTGAGTTGCTGTTGAAGGTTGAGCGTCGACTTCTGGTTCATGTGCAGGTTTGAGTTCGATGGAAGGGAAGTTTCAGCATTTCCTACTTGTAAATATTATTTTTATTTTTCCATGGAAATGTCTGTTCTGCTTCAGTTTTGTATAGTTAGACTGTTGTTTTATTATTTTTTCTACATTTTCTAGGAATGTACTGTTTTATAGTACCTTTAATGTAGGAATTAGATTAATCAATCTAATAAAACGTTCCTCTTTTAATCTTTTTGTTCAATCTCTGTCTTGTTGCTTTAACCACAAAATAAAACATGAGGCAAAAAATTAACTTTAAAAGCTGTCATAAAAAGTAGTTTATCAGGTAACCAGAAGGTTGAATAGTTCAGTATAATACACAGTCATAAAGAAATACTCCAGCACAGTAACTAAGTATTTATATCGCTTTACGACTGCTAATAATCGCTCACTTGCTTCAAGCTGACTAACAAGTTTTAGTTTCTTACAGTGAAACAAACCCACACACACACACACACACTTCACTGACATAAAAACCAGCAGACAGCTCTATAGTGTGTGAGCTGTGAAGCCCTCAATGGTTAAAACAACAGAAGCCTCTAAAACTCACAGCCAGCCAGCCCAGCACTGGTCTGCCTTCAAAATAAAAGCACAGCCTGTCTGACTTGGAGTCTGGCTGCAACTAATAATTAACTCAGTATCTATTCATCTGCTAATTATTTGTTCATTTATTTGTTTAGTTTGTATAGGTCTGGGTACTCAACCTTAATTCCTTTTTGGTGCAGAGTCAGACTGAAATGTGTCTTTAGCTCTAATATCAAAACCTCTCAATACTGAAAGGCAGCATTAAATATCTGGTCCGAATCATAACCTCATAAACCTTTACTTTACTAAATCTGTTATCAAATAGTTCCTGATGCAAATCCAGTTTTTGTCAATTTTATACTGAGCATTGTTTATTTAGCTCATGTATTTATTGTTCGTGGCTGCCTTTGATTGGACATAAAAAACTTTATTAAATAAAAGAATAGGTTTTTAGAAAATCATACATACATATATATAAACTTACAGTATACATATAAGTAGTAGTTGTTCTCCTTAGAGACTTTTGTTTATTTTCTGTTGATCAACTAAATGATTCTTTGGTGAATCATTTAACTGTTTTCTGTTTCTGTTACACATAACTCAGATTTTAAGTCTTTTATTTAATGGGTAATTATATATTTATTATATATACACAACAGAATATGTTCCAGTGCACAGCAGGACATTAGGCTTGACACTGTTTTATTTATTATTTATTGAAAACAAACAGCATACATAATTCTACCATTCAAGATTAATTATAAATATGACATTATATAAAACAATGAGATACAATTCATACAGTGCAAACCTGTGACTAATTATTTTTTTTCTGTTGATCATTAAACAATTAATCACTTCAGGGCTCTTTGGGAGACGAGCTCTCAACTAACTCCTCTTAACTGTTTCTATTACACATACCACAGATTTTAAGTCTATGATTTAATGACATATATTTATTATACATACAACAAAAATATATTCCAGTGCACACCATAATATTAGGAATGACACCGTTTTATTACATTAAAATCAATACAATATAAACATAATTCAATATTAAATATAAATATTAAAGACAATAAGATACAATTCATATCAGAGTGCAAAACTGGCTTTTTCATTCAGTATATTTTCCAATATTCCAGTTCTACAGAAGATCAAAAATACAAACAATTTTAGCAAATAAATACACAAATATAAAATATTTAACAACCTCCAAAGTGACCCATGAATTCGATGGCTCTTATTCTGAAGGTGGCACCGGAAGAGAGCTCCTGACTGGAGCTTGACGGGGAGCTGAAAGGAGGATTTTCACTGAAATCACAGCGACTCGCAGTTTGTTGTTCAGCTGGATCTTCGGACTGAAAGTTTGACTCGTTTCAGGAGAGAAAAGTTTGCTTTTTACTCACCGGAAACGCGACAGAAACCCCGCAGACTGTCGAGCTTTGAGTGTTTATTTGAAGAGAAACAGCTGATTGTGGATCTGCTGTGGATCTCTGGGAGGAGCTGCAGCCCGATGCAGGCAGGTGATGGATGTCAGCGGGGCTCAAGGTGAGAGGACTGAAATACAACAGCAATGTGTAAGGGATGAAGAGTGTGAAGAGGAGAGACAGGGGGTTAACTCTCTCTCTGTCTGTCTCTCTCTGTCTGTCTCTCTGTCTGTCTGTGTGGAGAAGTTAAAGTCTGGTCACTGTGAATGATCAGTGGTCGAGAGACCCTGAAACATACTGTCTACTAGAGAGAGAGAGAGAGAGAGACAGACAGACAGACAGACAGAAAGAGAGACAGACAGACAGAAAGAGAGACAGACAGACAGAAAGAGAGAGAGAGGGAGGGGCAGAGAGAGAAAGAAAGACAGAAAAGAGGTTTTTATTGCTGCCCTGTGAGTCACAAGTTTGCCTGCAAACACACACACGCACACACTCTCACACACTCTCTCTCTCTCTCACACACTACACACACACACACACACACACACACACACACACACACACACACACACACACACACACACAGTCCTCTGTAAACATGTTTGCCATCATGGCAGCTCGGTGTGGAAAATGTTGTTTATTTGTTGTTTTGCCTAAAGGGTCAGTGAACTTTACAGCCAACAGAGTTTAATTTAGTTTTAGTTTTTAAATGTTTTAGGTTTTTATTTTTTAACTAATAGCCTACATTTAAAAAAAAAAATTGTATTAAAGTAAAAATACTCATTATGCAGAACGGCTCCTTTCACAGTGTTAAATGTTATATATATATATATACACACACATATATGAATACATGTAATTAAGTATTAATACTGTAACAAGTATTTTAATATTGTATTTGGAGCCAATTTTAGATACTTAGACTGGTTAATTTAGTAGTTTATTAGTGCTTTATATCATACATATTATATCAGGGTTTTTTAAATGTAAAAAGTAACTAAGAGTCAAATAAATGTAGTGTAGTAGAAAGTAGCACAGAATGGAAATACTGTATCATTGAGGAGGATCTACTTTAATGTGATATAATATTCACAGGTATGTTTTTATTAGTGTTTAATCACCTGAATAAAGGAATCTGTGTGTTTTTGTGACCGTAGAAGGAGACACCTTCTGATGTAGGAGAAACTATACGGTGGCAAGGCCCCATCTGGAGCCAGTGTTTGTCCCTTCTGGGCTACTGTAGAAACATGGCGGTTCAACATGGCTGCTGTTTGGTGCTGAGTCCGTCGTGTATGAAAACAGCTGCGTGCTGCGGCTGCTAGTAAAACTGAAACATGAAGAAAATGTACCAAAAAAAAAAAAAGAGCTAAAAGAGGCTAAAAAAGCTCTACCACTTTCATATCACACAGAGTTATTAGATTTATTGATTATTGATCTAAGAATATTGATCAGCAGGGATTTGAAGGTGTAGCAGACGAGGAGACTTGAGGAATGTGGTTCAGCTGCTGTCGACGGACAATGAAGATGTTGTTCAGGTGTTTGTTCTGCTGCTTTGTTCTCATACTAATCATCACGTTCCTACGAGCAGTATGCTGCCCTGCTGGTTCCAGGAGGCGTGTGTGTGTGTGTGTGTGTGTGTGTGTGTGTGTGTGTGTGTGTGTGTGTGTTATGATTCAGCAGCAGTAAAGGGTGTTTTAATTTGTCTTAATAAGATACTGCAGGAAAGAAAAATTAATGTTCTGTACTTTGAACTTTAAAATCACAAATAAAAAGTGATTTTTACTTTTAGTCACTCTACTTTTAATTTAATTTGTTTACACTACGACCTTTTTATTCCTGAAAACGTACAGACAAATCTGGCAGCTGATTTAAGTTCAGTACAGGTTTTTGGGCTGAAGAATCACACTAACATAGAGTTTTTGTGGATGTGAATGTGTGGAGTAATTAACTCAGCATTCAGCCACAGCCCCCTTTTAAAACATGTCTTTAAAAACTCATTACAGCAAAAAAAACCAACAAACAAAAACCTTCTGAATATATTTCCTTATTTTTATTACTGCAATAATAATTACATTTGGCTTTAGAATCTTTAATCATTAAATTATATTTTATAATTCAATTTTGTACGTTAAAAACATTCTTGATTAAGCAGCTTTTGACTTTGTGACACTGGCCTAATATGCAAGTTACAGAAAGATTCCCGATTAAGTTCTTTTTACTAGCTATATTGTTTTCGGCGTAGAAATAAAGATTAGAAAATTAAGTCAGTGTCACTTAAAACTACTAGTAAAAGCTGCTTAATCAATAATGTTTGTAACTTACAAAACTGAGTTATTGTTACTTAAAATATTTTATTTAACCAGCTTCAACCGTTTTTTGAGTTGAATTATAATTATAAACCATCAAACTCCATTATTTCTGCCGTTGTTATCAGAAGAAATGTACAATTTACTAAAAGACACACAAAAATGTAAAAGTGGAGTTTCAGCCGAGAGTAGAGACAACAACAAAGTGCTGAGCAGGTTGTGAGTTTTTAGAGTTTTATCACTGAAACCTGCTGCAGCTGAAAACAACACTAAGATCAGTGAGACTGAACCAGATAAACAACTCACTATAAAGCTCAGTGAACCTTCATCAACATGAGCGTCACATTGTCCTTTCATTTATTGTTTGTTGTAAAGAAAAGATTACACGTAATTGAGTAGTCAGGATACAAAATGAGGTTACTGTAATCAGTTACCGTAATATGTAATTAGATTACAATTACATTTAGTTAAAGTTTCATCAGTTTTTCTTATTTTTGATGCAAAATATCTTAGTTTACATTTTCTTTTCTAAGGTTGCATTGTTCATCATCTTATTATTATATATTTTATGTTAAATATTTGTTTTCTCTTGTTTTTTTGTTACGTGTTTGGTGCAAAAAAAAAAAAAAATAACGTAAAGTAATCAAGTTACGTTACTTTAACATTGTGATACTTGGATTGGGTTACTGACTACATTTTTAACAGGTAATTAGTAACTGTATCAGATTACAACCCTGATTAAAACAATATAGACAATAACTCTGAACTGACTAATCATAAGTCTTAAGTCTGCCTATTAAAATGTCCAGCAGGTGGCGCTCAAACTCAACCCGACTGAATAAGTGCTCTTTTTTAACATTTATACTTTTTAGGAGAAGTTCTGTGTAGAGAATATTTAACATTTGAGACCCTTTTGTTAAGTGAAGCAAAGAGTTTCTTTCTCTAAAAACGTTATTCTGGTGTTACTTATGAAACTCTATCAATTTATTATTGAAAATATACAAATATATTCAGTTTTAAATTATATAAAACTGAGAATATTGACCAAAGAAGCAACAAATTCTCACATTTTGAACTGGAGGATATTTGGCATTTTTGTTCAACTGAATCCCGTTTTGAAAAGTGTTGATGGTCAATCATCAATTAAGATAAATTTAGATAAATGTAGAATATAAATTATATTTTAATGAGTAATAATCGCTGATCATGTAGCTTTTGATTTTGGATAAATTAAAATGTTTCAGTTTGGTGGAGCAGGTTCAGTTCTGAGCTCAGGTTTGTGGGTCTGACCTGAGATCAGCTGGTTTCTGATCCCAGGTCAGAGTGAAAGAAGGGCGTCAGTGTTTCCTCTGCTGTTTCCTGAACGATGTCATCACACCATGTTCAGCTTTTTCCACAGCAGGAAACGTCGTTGTCCCACCTGTCTGGAAGATAAGACGCTGCTGTCATGTGACCTCTCTGAAAGTCACATTGTTTAAAATCTGTTTGTCTTATGATCACCACCCAACGTCCACTTGTTCATCAGCAGATAACGTTTGTTTTCTGACCTCTTTAATGATCAGTCTGGTGTTTTTCTATATTTTTCTTATTGGCAACAAATCACCAATAATGTGTAAAGATCTGTGGCTCTGAGCCCGAAACGCATTGATGCCTACTGAAGACATAAATCTAAATCTCACTAATATATTGTTTCATTTTAGTAAACGTTACACAAACAGGAGGAAATAGAGCTTTTTGTTGGGGACTATTTTCTGTGTTTGGTGCTCTAGTGAGTGTTTCCAGCAGCAGGATGGTGTGTGTGTGGGACAGAGTCAAAATAAACTCCAGCGTTTGTGTTGATAGTAGTGAAGGGACATGTCACAGTGTGGATCACTGATGTGTTTTAATAGTTATTGTATAACAATGGAGTCAGAGAGATAAGATATATCAGAGTGCTTCTTAAAAGAATCCTTTCATTGTTGGTTTTGATCTTTTCATGTGATTTATTGATAAGAAGTACAATATAAAATATAATAAGACTTGTCTTTTACATAGAATAACATGTAAAAAACTTCAAAATGTCTCTCAGAGCCAGGGTTTGTGAAACAATGCGTTTGTTTTTTTACAGTTGGGCTCCTGACAAGAACTTTGTCTCCACTTTATGAACACAAAAACAGAGCGTTTGGTGTTGAGAATGAAAACTGAGTGTTTACTGAAAGACAGTTATAGAGAGAGACAGACAGTTAGAGAGAGAGACGGACAGTTATGGAGAGAGACAGTTAGAGAGAGAGAGTGAGAGATTAAAAACAGATGGGGGGTAAAAGATTCAACAAGAGAAAAGAGAAAGACAACGAGCAAGAGAAGCAGGAGCCTGCAGCCTCTGATCTGGATTATAAATGTGTGTGTGTGTTTGTGTGTGTGTGTGTGTGTGTGTGTGTGTGTGTGTGTGTGTGTGTGTTCGTGTGTGGGTGGATGGGTGTGGGTGTGTGTGTCTGCAACCAGGGTGGGATGATTTGTGCTATTGGAAAAAAGCACTGCAACTCCCAGGAATGAATGAGTCACACACTTAAACACACACATATTTAAACACTTGTAATGTACACACACGCACACACACACACACACACACACACGCACACACACACACACACACACACACACACACACACAGGGAGAACACACTATAAAAGCTTTGATCAACGCTTTACTGTGTCTAACATTTTCTTGGTAATACCTGATAGAGTGAACTTACATTACCCACAGTGTGTGTGTGTGTGTGTGTGTGTGTGTGTGTGTGTGTGTGTGTGTGTGTGTGTTTGTGTGTGTGTTGTGTGTGTGTGTGTGTGTGTGTTTCCTATTGTAGGTAAGGGGACTGAGGGCAGGAAACAGAACAGGACTGGGTTGCAGCTATTCGTAAATCCTTCACCAAGTTCTTCCTAAGTTCTTTAGCTGCTAGTTTCAGACTAAAGTGATTCACTAAATCAGGTTGCTCTAGTAAAACCTGAGGAATGTCCTAGATAGCAACGACTTTAGTCATGTGTACATCGGTTGCTAGGAAACAGCCCTCCAATCAAAAGCTATTAAACTACAGAAACAGGAAGTTACTGCAGCATCATAAGCTAAAACCTTACAAAATAACATTTGTTGTTGGATAAGACATATAAAAGTATTTAAGTATCATCGGATAAATGTATTCAAAGACATGTCAGCTGTTATATTTCTATATATTAATATTTCATATTGATGCATTTAAGTATTTTAATGTTGTAGCTTGTGGAGGAGGAGAAAGTTCTTACTACTTATTATCCTGTTTGGTAGATTATTGAGTAATAATGCATCTTATTTTGTTAGATAATCTTATATTAAATCTTATTTCATGAACTTTCAGTTTTTGTTCGTTCTGGCGCTCCTTCGTGGACAAAATCGGTAGTGTGTTACGACCACCTTGTTTCATTGGTTTCAAGGGGAATCTGACCTGGTGTCAGGCATTAAGCATTACTATATAGAGAGTAAATGTTTTAGACATATCTTTCTATCTCCATAGAAACAAGGAAGAGAGTTTGGGGACACATGGTTCAACTTTTTGTGCAGGAAAGGACAATAATTGGTCAAATTTGCAGATAAGCGGCTGTGATTAGACTAAATTGCAAAATTGCCCAGAATTCACAGGGACTGGTTGAATTTGCATTAACATTACATCTTACTTAAAGGGATTGACCATTTAACAACTCCTTATAGTGGGTTTAAGTAAAGTACAAGTACCGTACAGTAGTCGAGTAAATGTGCTTTCCACCACTGCTCCTTTACTCCTCCTATAACTAACAGTATGTAACAGGTTTAAATATTTAATCTCTGAAACGTGTGTGTGGTGCAACCTGTTTTAAGTCAGTGATTCATAAATCTTCACCTAAATAACGCTGACATTATGAAAAGACGAAGTTTCAGGATAGCTGGTGCAACCGGCTCCAGGACTGCTCTCTCTCTCTCTTTCTCTTTATCATATGTTCACTCCTGCCTCTCTCTCTCTCTCTCTCTCTCTCTCTCTCCTCACACACACACACACACACACACACACACACACACACACACACACATACACAGACACTAGGGTGTGTGTGTGTGGAGATGTAATGTGTTTTTGACCTTTGCTCTTGAACTTTGCGTTTCCTCTTCGTCGGCTTTGTTCTCTGTAGTGATGTCCAAAAAAAAAAACCATCCTAAAGATTCTCCAGACCTTTCAGTTTGTTTTCATGCACTGACCATCAGCTGCCATCAGGGGGCGCTGTGGTCACACTCAAACCACTGCAGAGGAACAGAAGAATATCGGCTGTTTGCCACTTTATCTACGATTTATTGTACACCTTAAAGGATCTTTTGCTTTAATAGAATACTCACATGCTCTTTATGTGTACAGTGGAGGAGTTATTGGACGCTGTAATCCTGAAGGATCCACAGTCCTCGTTCTTTATAAAGGCCTCAGCAGTCTGATGTAAGCTGTAAAAGTAAATTAAAATAATCAATTATATGGATGTAATTATTTCTCGTGTATGTTTTCACACAAGCTTAATAATAAAATAATAAAGTTTGCTGATATTGCACTTATCAAAAGGTGTTTTATGGGGGGAAACACACCCGCACACACATATACAACGAGAGAATAGTGAACCTTTAAAAAACGTAAAGCTGCAAATAGTGATTATTTTCATTATTGATCAATCTGCTGATATTTTCTCAATTAATCGATTAATCATTTAGTCTATACAATGTCAAACAATTGTGGAAAATACCCAAATATATTCAGTTTAATAACATATCAGACAAAGAAAAGCACCAAAAAGTAAGAACTGAGTATCTTTATTTTTAGTACTTTTGCTTAAAGTGTTGATTAATTATCAAAATAGTTTTCTCAGGATCAGTTAAATGATTAATCAACTAATTGTAAATCAGCTCATACATACAGACATACAGTTATATATATTATTATATTCTATCATTATTTAAAATAAAATAAAATAATCTGATCTCGACAGCCAGATTTGATTCCAAAATAAGTTTTAATTGAACATCAATCACAATAAAACACAGTTAATAACTCCCTACTAAAGTATTACACCGTATTAAATAAACAGCGTTAGAGACTCGCTGTCTGTACTTGTGTCTAAATCAATAAACAAAATGTAAAATAATAGAAATCTGATTTATGTTGTTAGAGTGAACATCCGTCTCTCTGTCCGTCCTTCAGGTCGAAGCTGCAGAAGAAGACTTCCTCCTTCTCTCTTCTCTCTCCTGACGGCTGGTCCCTCAGAGGGGTAAGAACACTTCATTATAACAACTCTACATTTTATTAAGACATAATACACAACATGGTAACTCGATTCGGGATAATAAAGGATGAGATAGAAGTGAAGAACCTCCCTTTAATACCTCAGAGTGCGTTATGGCTTTAATATCACATACTGAAGGAGAAAAAGAGATTTTATAATGTGTTTTTCATTAGTTATATTTGTGTCTGTATTTAGGTTTAGTTTCGTCAGTGAGAGGTAACTGGTAATGTCGCGTGAAACAGATCAGACAGTCTGTCAATATAATGACGTCATACAACATTTTACACACATTTAGTTACTTTTTAGTGGATAAAACGGATAAAAATCATGGCAAAACCTCTTTTCTGCTATAAATATTGTGAAAAATGCTAATAAATACTAATACAGGGCACACATGTAAATCCCAGTAAAACAGGGAGGCTGCAGCTCCTTCAGTAGCCCAACTTCCAGCAAAGTAAGACTTCCTTTAATAAACCAGAAATTAGTATTTTTCTGTGTTGTTAAAGGAATATATTTTTTCTTTTTTGTCATCAACCTTTTATTGTTATTCAACATGGGTAATAAACAACAAACAAATACCCAATAATTCCCCTCCACCCTTCACACAATGGAGTGCTATATAAAAGATGTAATTTGGGTGGAATTAAAGCTGCAGTAGGTAACTTTTATTAAAGAATAACTTACATTAAATAATATTTAATAATGATATTTGCTGAAATGTATCCTGACTGTGGTACATTTACAGAATCTGAGAGAGAAAGAAAAAGTTGTGATGCATTTATGGTGAAACATCTTATTCAGGGTTAGGATTACTTTATCATGATATATTGATAAACTACAATTTATACAAGTACATCTGAAAAGATTACTCTAATAATCAATTAGCCAATTGACAGAAAATTAAGTGGCATCTATTTAAAAAAGTAAAGTAAAAACATTTAATGGTTCCAGCGTCTAAAACATGAGGATTTGCTGTTTTAATTTAAAGTAATTTTAATCATTTTAATGTATTTTTTAAATAATTTTGAGGTTTGGTTGGAGAAAACAAGAAGCTGTCACTTTGGGTAACTGTGATGACATTTCTCAAGAAGTTTTACAAACCAATCAATCAGTTAATTAGTCGAGAGAATAATCAGCAGATGAATCCATAATGATAATAATCATTAGTTTTCTGCATTGATTACTTTTACTTATAATTCTTTAAGTACATTCTCCTGATTAAACTTAGACACACTTTTACTGAAGTCGTATTTTTAGTTTGGGATTTTTCTGTGTGTAATTTGTCTAAACCAGAGTTTATGTCCTTTGTGTCTCTACTGCTGGTGTCTCCGTGTCTCCTGTAGCTCCTAATTATAGACGGCCTGTTTCCCCCGACGACGACCGTCACTTCCTGTTTGTCTAATGAGAACCGAGTGGACACACACACACACACACACACACACACACACACACACACACACACACACACACACACACACACACACACACACACACACACACACACACACATTGTTAGGGGTTCCTGTTCCTGAGGGTCTGTAGATCCACTCAGAGAGGTGGTGAAGCTGAGGAGGGGAAAGGAGCTCTGCTGAGGAGGTTTAGATTGTGACTGAGGAGGTGGAGGAGGAGAAGAGAAGGAGGGCAGGGGACAGAAGAAAGTAGAAAGCAGGAGGAGTAAAAGAGTGAGAAAAGCGTGAAGTCCAGAGAAGGAGAAGGGAGCAAGAAGAGAGAAGGAGGCGATTCAAAGGAGGAGCAAGGAATCAGGCAATCACACTGCAGACGCTGTGTGAGGAGGAGAAAAGAGAGGACAGCTGATGTGACTTTGGGGTCAAAACAAAGAGACCTGGAGGAAGAAGAGGAGAAGAAGAGGAGGAAGAGGAGCAGCAGATGACTGTTAATTGACACTTGAACTGTGTTTGAGGAGCAGATCTAATCTTGGTGATGGGCTGCTGTCTGTTTGTTTACTATCGGGTGAGTCCCAGAATGCCTTCCAACCAGTGGAGTAGTGCAGGAGTATGAAGGAGTATGAAGGTGTATGAAGGAGTATGAAGGAGTATGAAGGTGTATGGAGGAGTATGAAGGTGTATGAAGGAGTATGAAGGAGTATGAAGGAGTATATCTTCTTATGTTTCAGTCAGCACTGAGTGTACCGGCCTCTAAATCCCCTCTGAAGTGCATCATTCAGTAGTATTCTGCTAGCTGATCTTTTTCCTAGGATGGCGAAGACATGACACAGTGGGATGAAGTTTGAGGAATACTTCACTGAAAATGCAGAATTAGGTCTCATCTGTGGGCCAGTATTTATCGCTTAAACTGCTCCTCTTCTGTGTCTAATGTTAGTTTCATAATGATTCTTTACTGCCTGAAGTCAAACTGCAGAAGTTCACTGACAAAGTGCAAATACTAACAAATATTTGAATATGCAAGAGTAGTCTACATGTCAGAGTTTATGACGCAGGGCATTTATCTTTTGCTTTAAAAAACAATGTGAGGCATAGATTAAAAGTATCCCTCTCTCTGTTCTCCAGGCAACACGACACAGACAGAATCTGAGGGTTTACTAACACATGACAGGTCGATCACATACATGAGGACAAAAACCCTGCAGAACCATTTATTCATCTTTATCAAACAAGGACCCTACACAGAAACATTCGTCTCTAAATGAGATGATTTATGCCAGATGAAGCTATTAGCTCATTTCTATCTGCAGTCTCTGGGCAGGTTCAAACAGAAATATCACCAGACACTAAAATCATTCATGTCCATGCAACAACACTACATTGTCTCTGTCACATGAACTTCTGATCAATATCACTCAATAAGAGTTTCATGTGCGCTGACAGAGCTGAGTTGTGTGAGTTACTCCACAGTTTACGTTGCTACATGTAATGCTGCACCCATGAGTTCATGTTGAACTGTGTGTCTACACACTCTTTTATATTGGGGTTTCATGTGGATGTTCTTCTTCATCTGCCATGTTGAACCACCATGTTTCTACAGGAGCCCAGAAGGGGCTCTAGATCGGGGCGTTTGCGTTTCATTGGCCACCTTTGAAGGGGAGGGTGAAGCGATGGAATTGCAATCTGCAACTATACATCTAGATGCCACTAAATCCTTTACATTGGACCTTTAAATGATCGGCATACTACTGAATAAGAAATAACTGACCACAGGGCTAGTAAATGTTGTAACAGAGGGATGTTTGATATGACTGTACAGAGGTTTGGACTCGAGTCAGACTCAAAATTTATGACTCAAATAAACAAAATCCTTTTCCCAAGTATGTTATTTTAAAAGTGTGCCACGAATCACTTAACTTCCATTAATTTCCTAAAACAACTAACATTAACTCTTTTAATTCAGTGTGTCTGAACCGACCCGACAGCAGCTAATCAGGTTACACGTTAGATTACTGAGCGCCAGTTCTAAAAATTATACCAAAGATAATTTCATCCTGTTGTTAAAATGATATTGGATTTGGTGAAACGTGCACTTTGACTTTATTTAGGACTCGAAACTCTTGACTTGACTTTGGATTTGAGACGTACTTGTGACTTGCAAAACAGTTGCAGCAGCAGAGCCTCCAGGAAGTCCTTTCAGTCAGGTAATAGGTAGCTGTGAGGTTCAGAGGACAGTCCTTATATGGACATGGATGATCAGACTCCTCCCCCTTTATGGTTTCTATGGCGACAGTGAGTTAAAGGTAAAGTCTGCCAAGTTGTATAACGTCCGGCCAACAACAAAGTCTCAACACAATACTGAACAAACAGCAGACTTCCTGCTATTGTTACACTGATCCCAACATCCTTCTCCTCCTCCTCCTCTCCTCCTTCTCCTCCTTCTCCTCCTCCTCCTCTCCTCCTCTTCCCTGTCCGTGTCTTCTCCTCTCTCATGTCCTCCTCTTATCTCTTTGAACCTTCCCTTTCTTCCTTTGTTCCTCTCCTCTTGTCATTTTCTCACCTTCTCCCTCCTTCTTTCCGGCTCCTGTATGTGCACCCATGCTCCTTTCTCCTTTTTCTCCACTTGTCTATTCCTCCCCTTCCCTCTCGTCTACCTCCTTTTCTCTCATCCCTTCCTTATGTCCTTACCTCGTCTCCTTTCCTAGTTTCCTTCTGTTATCCTCTAATCCCCTTTTTCTTTCATGCTCCTTCCTCCGTGCCTCCCCTCCTTTCCTCCCTTACTCTCTCCTCTCCTCTCCTTCCTTACTTTGCTCCTTTATCCTCTCTTCTCACCTTTTCTCCACCTGTCTTCCTTTTCCTCCTTTGACTGTGACCACTCTTTTTTCTTCATCCCCCCCGTCCCCTCCCTCCTTCTTTTCCTCTCCTCCTTATTCAGGTCCTCACCTTATCTGACTTCACCCCTCCTCTCCTCCTCTCCCCTCCTTTTCTTCCACCATCACCTCTCCTGTCTTACTTTGTTCCTTTCCTCTCCTCCCCCGTTTTCCTCTCTCCCTTCCTCTTTCCTCAACTCCTTTTCTCCTCTGGTCCTCCTTTTTACTCATTTTCACTCATGTTTTTCTCCTCTCCCCTCCTTTTTGAACCTCTCCTCACCTTCTCACCTCCCTTCTTCCTTTACTCCTCTTGGTTAAAGGTCATCTACCCTCCTTCAGTCATGCTCCTTCCTCTTTACCTCCCTCCCCCTCCTCCTCCTCCTCCTCCTCCACCTCCTCTCACACATACAGCTGTTTGCCCTCAGTGACCCGGCTCATCAGGTGTTTGTTCGATTTCTTCCTGTTTTTGTCGCCATGGCAGCAAACAGGAACTGTTCGGCTCAATCTCAATTACAACTGCACCTGCGCAGCTTTCCAACAGGTGAATGGAGGTTGCCATAGTTACACAGAGGTCACCTGACTTAAAACATTAGTGACGGATCAGATTTTAGGGTTTTTATTGGCAACCAAAAGAGAGTCCTCAGGTGGTAAAGTTCATATATTAAAATATCACAAAAAAAAAAAAGATCCTGAAGATAATAGAAGACACAAAGTCAGAGAAAGTGGATTAATATTAAAACATTTACTCAAATTCTCAGCAACAGTTTTCAGGTTCTGTTACATTTATTTGATGGCTGCAGTTAGTGAACCTGAGAAAGATCACGAAATGTGATAAAATGTTAAAATACCCTCCGTGGGCACCGGTGCTCCTCTTCTGGGTGCCAGCTGGTGCAGAAACCAAAGTAAACTAGACAACTAAAATATATTCCAGCTCACAAAAAAGGATTGGGAGAAACAAAACAACGCGTGTTGCTTCATCGTCATTCATTCATTCATTCATTCATTCACAGTGAATTTTGGACATGAAATAAAGAGAGAATTGTCTCAATCCGAACATTACTTTCTTTCATTTCTACTCTTCTTCCTCTTATTCTTCCTTTTCCTTCTTCACTTAATCGGAGAGTATGAAACTGATATGATTTTCTTTTACCAGCAGGTGAAACAATGAGTGCTTTTATTTAACATACCTGAGAATGTGTTACTGTTGATGAGCTGTACAAACTGTAACCAGAGCAATGAGCTAAAAGCTGCAGGTTTGGTGTTCATGGTCACTTTATCTCTGCAAACCGAAACTTTCACATTATATTTGAGTCGTTGAGTTATTTACCACTTGCTGTGTTTGTTGTGTGTTGCAGAAGAAGAGGAAGCAGGCCAGCAGAGATGCAGACTCCCTCAGTCTCTGCAGTCTGGACATCAACGTGAGTTCAGTCCCTTTTCACACTGACTTCTCTTTTAGTCTCTGCTCTTATCTTTAAAAGGTGGTTTCAGAAAAAGAGAGCGGTTGAGTTTTACTTTGAGAAGACTTACAATAGTTCCTGATTCTGTGGTGGTGGCAGTATGTTCGCACCTTTAAAACACGACCAAAAATAGACAAAAAGACCAACTGTCATGTTGCTGTTTCCTCTTCAGCAGTTGTGAAATGTGACTTTCTGTCAAGGACTTTTTAACAAAGAGTAACTTATTTCTAAACATCATTTTATTACATTTCTGGTCTATATTTAGTCAGAAGTTGCCCTGTGGGGTTTTCTTACTGTACTGTGTGTTTCCTTGAAGTCTAACAAAAGTTTATTTCCTCATAAAACATTTGCAAAGCATATATTTTTTTAAACATTTGGAACCTGCATTGTTTACATCCATGTTTACTAGCTAGCAGTCGTCTTCTTCACTGCCTTTGTCTTTGCATTGTGCAGTTTGTTGGTGCTTTACTGCCACATCTAGATCAGTGGGATCGTGTGAAACCATTGGCAGGGATATGTATATTGACAGATACGTGTATTTTAGTGTCGGCCTTTGAATTGTATGCATACGATGTTATATGTGGGTTAATGCGTTTTAATTAATCTATTATAGAAAAGTTGAAAAAGTCCATAACGGCTTTATTAGAATAATTATTGTTGAGAAAGGACAAAAAAAGATGTTTAATTCTGAGCCACAGTGGATAGTTTGTTTGTGTTGTTTGTTTATTTAGCAAATTATATAATATATACAGGTGTAATAATTTTATTTCATAACTCTCTTTACTGTAGTATCCTAACATATATATACACACACAGGGAAAACAATCTCTACTGTCACTACTGTAATAAAACCCATCCTTCCCTCACCAACAGGCTACAACAATACATTTAAAATGTAAAATATGAAACCATAGGACAATATAAAATATATGATTATATATTATATTATATATTTTTATACTGTATATACCATATACAATATAAAAAGAAAGAACTTACTCAGAATAATGCTGATACAACTCTTTCAAATCAGTGGTTTCATCCCAGTGACAAATGAATATAAAATGTGTCCATATTTGCCTAAAAAAGTTTTTACTCATTTTAAAGGAAACTCTTTGAACCACCCGGCACGAGAAGCTGGTTTGGGATTTTCCCAATTAAATAGCACAAAGACAGCAGGCTAACTAAAGGATTATAAATTGTAAACTGTGAATCTTTAACCTTCTCCAGCTCTGACTGTGGGTTATTGTATATTCGGACCCTCAGGGGCCCTCGGTCCTCGTGTTGGGCCCCTCCTCGTGTACATGTCTGTATTTTTAGCCCTCTGCCAGCAGCCCGTTCCTTCCCGGGCGTTTCCCCTCCCTGCTCGGTCTAACACAGGATGTCCACCCTGTTCAATACGCCGCAGTGTTTGTGTGACAAACAGACCCAAACTGACCATCAGTCATATTCTGTTACAAACCAGCGCCAACCTGGAATAAATGACACTCTATTGTTTCTCTACTGTTACTCCCTGTAGCTCAGTGAGTCACAGAAGGTCACTTTTGGAGAAGCACTGTCTCTGTCTGGATGGGAGATTAATCCAAGGTTAGGTTTTATTTTATTTAATAAAAATAATAATAATTTACTAGTAATGTCAGAAAAAGTTCCCTGGAAAGAACGATGTAATCTGGTATTAATTATTAAGGCTGAGTGACAGGATAAAAGGACGATACGATATGTGAAATGTTTGATGATACGATCATAGTTATTAGAAAATTAAAATTTTTGCTTCACAATTTTCATTTTCCCTGAAAGAAATGATTAAAATGATGATGATGTGAAGTTTGTTGGGGGTCTGAACCAAACAAACATGTCTGAAGAGCAAGCTTTATAAACCAGAGCATCTCTTCAGCTACAGGACTTCACTATAATGCTGCTTGTCACACAGTTTAGCTTTGCATTGAAATTGCATTTTGATAACGTTTTGATTAATCATGCAGCCCTGCCCTCGTTTCCTGTCTTGGGTCTTACCTCACCCATTATTGTGTATAGAATCCCCCGTATGTAATATTAATAATTATAACTGTATGTGCTTTCACACTTCTATGTTGCCGATAAAGAAAATGGAAAAATAAGATTTTAAGCTTTTGTGTAGGTTGTATATAATAAAAAGGTGAACATTAGCAGCGCTACTAATTATAGAGGAAACTTTAGTTATTGAAATAACTAATAACTTTTGAGTTGTTTTAGTTAAGTTGGTTGTTTAGAGTCTATACAAAGTTGTTTATTTCCAGAGGAACTTTCTTTGAACAGTTAAACCAAAGTAAATAGTCATTAATTATTGATTTGTTAAGGAAAACATCATTATTCACTCAGTGGCCCCATTTAGTAGGTACACCTGTACAATCTAATACAACTGCTTTGCCAACTTTTATGATGCCTATAAAATAGAGGTGTTAATTCAATTATATGTTTCTAAGTGAGGTTGTAGTTAGTGGTGGTGCTAGACTGCATTAAGTTCAGAGGTCTTTCTAATATTCCCGACAAAGATTAAAAACACTTCTCAATATAATATAATCCAGCAATATCATCAACTTTAAATACAACCTCTAAAACATGTAATTCAATTAATATATTTACAAAAAGTTCAACCCAAACTGAACATTATGAACTAAATTAAATACACTTGTACACATGTACAGGCGTACCTAATAAAGTGACCACTGAGTGCATGTTCAATTTGATTCAGTACACTGCAAATAAGTCTGGACAGCTTTGTATCTCGTCGCCCTTTGGATAAACACAGGCAGGAAATGAATGTGGTTTCACAGTGATTCAGTCCGTACTGGAAGCATTTGCTTTCAAAGAAATCTATTCACAGCAGCTTCGGCTCCGACAGGGAAAACCCGTACTTAAGAAACATTTCACATTTATGCAGATTCAGCTGACGTGCTGTGTATTAACTCTCTACAGTTTATAGATTAAAGATTTAAAGTTGGTGTAAATATCAGATTCATTGTTGGAAATGTGTTATGCAATATGACCAAAAATGTGCATTATTATTATTAGTAGTATTTTTTAAGATTCTGGCGGTTTCACAGTATATTTATTTATTTATTCATTTATTTTGCATTGTTGGGCCTTTATGTAGGTTTATAGTAGCTTATTCTACTGCCAGGAGTACATAAAATATTAAAAGTAATAAAATATGAAAACATTTTAATGTCATTGTGTGCAGACTGTAAACATGTTTTACTGTGAAAACTACAGCGTAGTACAAATATGGCTTTTAACATCCCTTTCAAAACAAAATATTTAAAAATAGATGTAAAGACACATAAAATACTAAAAAATACTTTTTCAAATGTTTTATTGCACAAAAAACAAACAAGTTACATTAAAGTAAGTAAGTATATCATAAGAAACTGTAAAACAGAGAGTTACCAAATCAAACCTTACTGGTAAAATAAAGAGTTTAGTATCTAAAGGATGTAAATGAGATGATTAAAGGAGTCATGCTGTAGTTTACAGCAGAGGCACCAGAGTGGTTATAGACGTTTTCACTGGTTAATTAATATCTACTGAGCCCCTCAGGGTGACTTGGTAGATTAACAGTTATTGATGTGGTTTATGAAACTCTGCCCTTGATTAGTTAAGCTCATCGAGATGTGTCTTCTTCTGGTATCTATACCATAGCTTATAATATGCCTTCAGAATAAAAGCAGGATTTTTTTTTTTATTTTCTTAGAGAATAATGTGATTTAGTATTTTAATAAAACTCATTTACACCCTTTATTTTAAATGATCAAAGGTTTTTATGCTCATAATAATGAGATACTTAATAATTATGAGAAGTTAAAATGTCGATTATCTTATAATTACCTTATATTCATAATTATGAGATAATAAGTCTGAATTATGACAATAGAGACTTTTTATAAGTTGCAGCTTCCATAGAATTTAACCATCACATGAAGTCAAGCAACCAAAGTGAGAAATATAGTATTTTATATTGTTGTTTGTGAGTTTATGAGAAAATGTTTTTTCAGTCATAACTTTCCTTCAATCTAATTTTGTTAAAAAAAACATTTAGTGAATTATGTGTTATTGTGAGCTGAGTGTATTGTTATATCACTATTCTTCATCCATCATCTCTTCCAAATTTTGTGTTTTTCCTCAGTTTATTTAACTATTTAAGTTTAGTTAAGTTTGCAGAATAAACTAGCAAGACAAAGTGCTTTTGATGGAAGTCAGTTTCTCTTTTAGTTTAGAAACATGTTGATTGAAATAGTGTGCAGACTCAGAGAGACTTGGTTTCCAGTTTGGCAGTTTAAAGGAAATTCTGGTATTTTTCAGTTTCCATTCTGACTCTTTTCACTCGCCACCTCCATTGCAGAGGTATCATATACCAGGGCAAACAGCACAAGCCTTAAAGCTTTCAGAGTAGCTTTAAAAAGTTCATGTAGTGGGGATTAGTTATTGTCGTAAACTACGAAGGGATCTACTTCTGGAGAAGCCAGTGAGCTAATAAAACTAACTGCCTGTTCACCAGCAGCAATAACAAAGATTTATTACTTATTGTTTAATATTAAATATTTTATTACATGTTTTATGTGTTGATCCTTAAATATCTTAAGTATATATGATTGGTTTATTACCCATTTGGTGAAATTAAAGAATAAAAACATGTCACACTGTTCACATCCGTTCATATTTGACCCCACTGCTAAATTTAAAGGCGTCTCTCAACAACGTACACAGTTGCGTCACAGTACAGATGAAATGAGGCGAGTTCGTCTGAGTCAGGAGACGCAGCTGATTCTGTTCTTGGATGAGAAAGTGACTCTTGTTTCTCTCTGAGCGCCCACGACCCAACTGTCCCTTTTCCCAGACAATGGAGCTGAGTCAGAAGGGCAGCTTTTGTTAGCTGAACATGAGGTCTGCTTCATGTCATGTCAGAGGTCAGCGACGATGCTCTG